TAAGTATCGACGCGTTTATAATGTCCTAACACTCTGTGTACATTACGCAATTGCATACGTATGCGACTATTATACGCATATTAATAATAACAATCATCGTCGTTCATGATTAATAAGAGAGACATTTTTCAAAAATGTATCTGCCCGTCCATTATAATTCGAAACGATATGATAATAATAATGTACGCGCTGTGGCAGTCGTGCCGTTTGCGTAATCACTAATTATTTTTGAAAGCCGAACCTAACCGTGTTCGTACACGGTAATCGTGTATCGTTGTTTTTTTTTTTTTCCCCCAGTGACGTTTAAATTATTGATCGTTCACTAATTCGTGTGCCTTCACTATGATTATACCGCAGCAGTACTTCCGGTTAGATTACGCCATACATTATGTTACTTATATTAAGAGGTACGTACATTGTATATATATATATATACATGTATACATAAATATATATATAGGTATTACAGGCGTGCAATTAATAAAATCGAAATCATACGGTTTTCAACAAACCAAAACGCTAACCACGCGTATTCGTATCACAGCTATAACTTTATACGACTAAACCGTCGTTTTTGTATTTGATTATGAGCGCAGCGAAGTGTGCAATAGTTTAACTATGAGGCACGCGCTTTTTATATTCTGAGTGAAGCGAGGAATCTATTGGTTTTACAACGACGTTTATTTTATTTTTTTACTGTGCATAAAATCTCTCGTAGAAATTTTGCTCCAATCAAAACACGACAAGAGACTTATTTTTTCACATTTTTCAAAACAACCATATTGATCTCATTTTTCGCCAAATTCCTATAACGGTCTTTTCTACACTGTTATAGACACTTATGGACTATCTATATGGTACTTTTCGTCAAACTATTGTGAGGTTCAATACACGATCATTATTCAACCTGACTTAATGATACTACGATGCCATTCAATTTATTGAATTCAAATTTATACTAAATCGTAAATTTTCTACCTAATAACAATTTATTACATTATATACTTGCACCACACGGATCAGATATGCCAATATTGAATTCGTAGAAATTTATTTATTTTTTTTCAGTCTGACTTACCTATATATTATAATAACAATGTTGTTTTTTTTTTTTTTTTAAGACAACTAGCTACTTATTGGGTAGAGAATTGGTTATTTTTTTCTAGACGTAGGTATACCCGTAATAATCGAAAAAAAAAGTATAATGTATAATTATTATAATATTTTAGAAAATATTGTATTTAATTTCATGAATTGTACACCGCGACGTGTGCACTGTGCAACACGAAAACGATTAGCATTTCAATGGGAAAAGATCACAAACAAAAAAAAAAGTAAGTATAGGTAAACCTATGTTCAATTGGGTTTAACGAAGCGGGGCCCAATAAGCTCTTTGACGATCTTCCTTGTTTTATTGTCAGTGTCTAACATCGCGAACACAAAACTATGAATAATAATAATAATATTGTTACACAATTTGTCTATTAGATATCTACCAAGTCACCTCATATACATGTAAATTATATTGTTTCCATATATTTATTTTTGAAAAATCACATGTTCAAACCGAAACTAAAATTGTAATTAAAAATATAATTCGGCCGACAGAACCTTAAGGATTGTAAACTTATAATAACAACATGTTGCCTAGTAATGAAGTCCCGGTCGGTTGTTTGTGCCTTCCGTTTAAATTTACCTACTTCCAGAGATTCAATGTCATTTTAAAAAAAAAAAAAAAATTGCACCGATTCTTTTTTCCCGAAAGCGCTTTTACTTTGTAATCTAATCTGTATTAACGTTGATTTCTTTTTCGTGTCCCGGGAATGCTTTAGATCAAAATATTTAATTATTTTTTCAAACTAAAACTTACTTTTATATTTTTGTGTCACATTACTTTATCAATGTACGTTTTATCAATCTATAATATTACTATATGTATTTATATTTCTCTTTTTTTTTTTTTTTGATGTTGTTCTTGATGTTATCATTGTTTATTGTTTTTAAAGGGTTAATGTCCCGTAAATTGTTAATAATAAATAAATAAATATTATAATATTTCAAATCAGCTGCGCTGTCGCCGTTTTCTTAACGCGCATCGATATAATATTCAAAACGGTTCAGGACCGCTTAAAAACCGGCTGCAATTTTCTACGAGTTATAAAAAAATAACATAATGTACATAATAATTAGTAATAACGTCTAAACAAAAAAAAAATCCCGTAAAATTATTCAACGATACCTTATAATATAATATATATATATATATATATATAATGTATTTATTTATTTTTATAAATATCACGGGCAAATGTCCAATAACAATAATTATAAATACATACATATTATATAGAAATATAAAAATTATCAAATAACAAGGTGCGACATTTTAGAGAGAAAAACAAAATTATATTAAAAAGCTGACTCGATAAATATTAGTTTATATGCGGAAATATAATTAAGCAGCATTAATTTGGTATTACTATTTACTATACAAATTTAATAATTTCTGTAGTATTGTCGTATCTTAATAATGTATTAATGCGAGAAATAAAATATAAGTATATTTGAGTGAAGACGGAGAAATATAAAATAAATCAGACTCTTAAAATTAATGGACACTCAATCTGGTTATTTAACAATTAATTTTGAAAAGATACACATATGAGTCTCTTCCTCTATCTAGAAGGGAATTGAGATTTAACAGACATAAAATATCATTATAGCCCTTCAGTAGTTCCCAACTGGTGGTCCGTGAACTCATCATTGGTGGATTTAATGTTAGAAGTGATTAGTTTAGGTCAGGGGTGCCTGTCCTCGCGCTTCGATGAAACCTCAAAACGTAACTCCAGACCGGTGGGTTTTGGTAACCGGGTCTCGAAGAGGAAGGGCAGACCTCCAGGCTCTTGAACCGGGTCGGGATTACGCGAAGCGCGGACAACTACAGTATCTATTGTTAAGTTAGCTAGTTGGGCATAGGTTACTCGCTTTGTTGTAAAGTTTGTCAATTATCTATATGTTAGCCTGTCCCGCGTATAGGAAACGGAACTATGACTCAATAAATATAGCTGTAATTGTTCAATAAACGGTGGCAGCAGTGGGGGAAGTATTTTGAAAACAGATCCCTCACTGTTGTCGGTTCAAACACGAAAAAAATAGCGATTAGTCTACTGTATTGCTGATTTTATTTTGTACGTATAAATAATAAATAAATAAATTTCGGGTGGGGGAGAGTGAAATTAAGTAATGATCCGTGGTGGTGGAAAATTTACAACAGCTAGTGGTCCATGTCTAATGCTGAATTGGAAACCAATGGTATAGTCCAAATATTTTTCGATATTACGTTTAAAACGAAAACAAAACAAAGGAACTAATTTTGAACGGCGCGTTACTGCACGAATGAGCAAAATACGCCTGGGATAAAACCGTAAAAAGGGTTTTGAAATACTATAGATAACCCATTACCGCACATAAACACAGCTGTATATTTTTTACGGCTGTCGCGGCTTATCGATAAATAGTAAAATATTAACATGTATAAATTTGTACGTACAATACGTATAATAATACAAACATTATTCAGCTTTATCAACAGAGACATAAATAGTGGGGGAGGGTAGTTAGGATGGCTTAGCTCACCCTCACAGCATTTAAATTAATTTATTCTTTAATATTAGGTTTAAAATGTATTGGGCTTAAGTCCTATATATTTTCAGACTCTATTTACTCTATTATGTTCATCAGTAAAAGATGGCATGCACAACACACACGTTAGTTACCTTCCGGCTTTCATCTTCGGACCATCGCGCGTGTCATTCAATACTCAACAAATAAAATAGGTGCGTTTAAACTTTTTGCGGATAGATACTCGTGGAAATAGGTCCGTTCATTTTGACAACTATAACTTTCGTTATTTTAGAACTAATACAAATTCGGGCAATATGTGTTCGAAGGAATGCAGTGAAACCATTATAACTAACATATAATGGAAAAACGTATTTAAATAAACAATTTTGAATTTTAAATCACTGATTTCACGGAATTTAAATTTAATTATATACAATATTTTGTATTGGTTTTAATAAATTTGTGAGGTAATGTATTATTCTTGTGTGGATTTGGGTTATGCATTTCGTTATGCGGTATTCGGTCGTTTTTGTGCGTTTTTGTTTATTTTTAAACAGCTCCTATTTATTTTTTGTAAACTTAAAGAATATAAAACATCTTATTTTCTAAAAATTAAGCTGTAAAACCCAACCAAAAAGCAAAGCTAGTAAACGGTTGAGTTGAGTTCAATATTTAAGATATACCTGATGATGAATTTTCAATTCGAAACCAATCTTATAATACACTAATAATCCAGACGGCGCATTAATTTATTTATTTATTAATTTTTTATTTCTGTATATACATTTCTTTATTTATATATTTATTTACTTTATTTAAGCTATATATTTTTGGTAAGATAAATAGATAATACAATAGTAGTTTTATATTTTTTTCTATTTACGTTGAATAATCACAATTTAAATTTCAAATGATAAACCTACTCAAAAGTATATGGCAGTGTTTATGGGATTGTTTCTAAGCAATTTAAAGTAAATTTAAGTACTTACCTACAAGTTAAACTTGGAACAATGATCACCCACACAGAGTTTTAAAAGGTAGGTATCTACTTAAGTTGAAAATATAAATAGTTATGGTTAGTTATCTACTAGTTAATAGTTACTTATACGTTTCATTTAAAATAAATGGCTAAACTTGTATTGCTATGACAATTTTGACAACCTACTTCTCAATAGTTTCTATTAACAACTTAAACCTTACGTTTAAAAACATTTCATTTAAAAATATTTTACATTTTGTATCAGTGATTGTTCTTATATTTCTACAACTATAATTACAAGTAACCTTTTCGAGGTTTTGATTTCAATTTGTTTGATTCAATTTATCATCGTTGAAATATGTTTGGATTATGTAATAAGTTGTTTTCTCAAAACATAATGAATATTGGACGGAATGTGCTCAAATTCAAAACTCCTTTTCCAAGTGACGTAATAAAACAAAGTTTTCATACTACGTGCAATAATTTTGCTTGGCCAGTGAGCAACAACCAACTAGAAAACGTACGCATGTTAAAACTAATATAATGTAAAAATTTATTTTTACTTGTTCTATTTTTTTTTTTACTTCTAGGGATCATGCTGTAAGTCGTTCATTGGGAACACCACTTCTCGATTGGATTACACGAGCAATATAGACGTTATTGATAATGAATCACATTTTTCTCGGCTATCCGGTATAATTTGTACCATTGGTAAGTGCTTGAATTTGTTTTTGTGTTTTTGTGTTAATATTCGTATGTACTCCTAGGACCGGCTTCGGTTGATGTAAACATGCTGGAAAAAATGATTGATTCTGGCATGAATATTAGTCGTTTGAACTTTTCTCATGGCTCACACGAATATCATGCTAATACTATAAATAACATAAGACAAGCTTGTGATAATTACAGTAAAAAAATTGGTCAATATAGCCCTTTGGCCATTGCTTTAGATACTAAAGGGCCTGAAATAAGAACAGGTCTAATAGAAGGAGTTAGTTCTTTAATATTTACTTATATCATATTTGTATATATTAATATTATGTAGGTATATTTATCTAATTGTCAACAATTCATTATTTAGAGCGGTTCGGCTGAAGTTAAATTAAAAAAAGGTGGTGAAATTCAATTATCTACGGATAAGGCAATTGAACAAATTGGAAATAGCAATAAAGTTTTTATTGACTATCCAAACATTACAAAAGTAGTGAAACCTGGCAACAGAGTATTCGTTGACGATGGTCTTATTTCTATGATCGTGAAACAAGTTGGTATGTTGACCACAATATTTCCAATCACCATTACATATTACCGATACCTATTAATTAGGTATATTTAATATAGATTTTATTTTTTATATTTTTCCGTAGGCAGCGATTTTCTCGACTGTACCATTGAGAATGGTGGTGTCTTAGGTAGCCGAAAAGGCGTTAACTTGCCTGGTGTACCCGTAGATCTACCAGCTGTGTCCGAAAAGGACAAGAGTGATCTAAAATTTGCAGCTGAACAAGGTGTGGACATGATTTTTGCATCATTTATCAGAGAAGCCAGAGCAATTAAAGAAATCAAAGATATTTTAGGTTAATATTGTTAATAGTTCATAAGTTAGCTGGTCATGCATGCTCAACAATTCTTTATTATTTTTAAAGGTCAAGATGGTAAGGATATTCTGATTATTTCCAAAATAGAAAACCATGAAGGCATACAAAATATGCAAGAAATCATTAACGCATCAGATGGAGTCATGGTTGCTCGTGGGGACTTAGGCATAGAAATACCACCAGAAAAAGTGATCATAGCCCAAAAAGCTATAATTGCACGATGCAACAAGGTAGTTTTAATTATTGGCATTAAAATATATATAAAAAGAGTTTTGTCACTGTTGTAGGTGGAAAATTGGGATGGTACTAGCTAGGTAGTAAATGTAGGCATGTGCTCAGGGTGTGCCATGTTTGCCATGATATATTTCGTGCCCATGGATCGAAATCAAAATTGGCTCATTCTGGGTTTCATTTCATTAAATGATAAATTATTCAATATGAATTATTGTCATATAGTAACCAATAAATTTCCTTTTAAAAAAATTGTTATTATTAAAAGTTGGAGCAAAATTGCTGGTAGAAAATTTGTCCAAAGAAAAAACAGTCGTAGTATTATACAATAATATTTTGTAAATTTTCCCGTTTTTCTTACGTTTTTTCCAAGTTTTTCCTATTTATTATAAAAACATTATTTAATTTTTTGACTACAAAGTATGACTTATAATGAACCTTCTGTTGAATTTTTAAGTATTTCAGTTTAGTCTAACAACTTTATCTGCAAAGTACCCAATCAAAAAAAAATTACGTTAAAATCTCACAAAATTAAAATGCCTATACATGGTTCAAACATATTACCACATAGTTTTCTGCCAACGTTTCCAGTATTTACGAATATTTTTAACTGAATAACAACAACAAAAAAAAAAAAAACAAAACAAAATTCAAAATAATAAAATATTTATTTTCGTAAATTTTCCCGTTTTTTTAATTTTTTTTTTCGATTTTGCTTTATTATTAATAAAAAAATTACAAGAAGAATCAAAATTAAATTGAATTAAAAATATTCAACAAAAAAGATCTCTTGTGGATTTTCAATTGGAGCAATATTTCTGGTAGAAAACATAAGTTGAAAAAATTAAAACAATTAAATCGGTAACGCCACGGCGTGCAGTAAATATTGCGTAAATATATTTTGGAGCAAGATTTTTTTTTTTGAGAAGCTATTTACAAACAGAAATAAAAACGCACACATTATAGTAAAACTAATAAATCCCTCGCTACGCTCCGAATTTAAAACACATCAAAATAAAATCAATAGATCCCTTTCTACGCTTCAAATCTAAAATGATCAGCTCTTTTTTGATCTTTAATTTTTCCAATTGCATTTCAATGTATTTAAAATATTTGATATTGCTGAATTTAAAAAAAAAAGAAAACATAAAGCTAAGCAGCTTAAAATATTATAAACGCTGTAAATGTTTATTCGTTTTTCATATACGTTTTTTTTTCTTTTTCCAATTATTAAGAAACCTACAATGAAATTGATCACCTCAATGTACCAACTAGATTAAAATTGCAACATAAAATATCTCTGTCATTTTTTGATTAAAGCAAGATTTTTTGTAGCAGAGTTTTATACAGATAAAATATTGCACACATGTTATTTTTAGTGAACCTAATACCTACGTTCGTCACTCCGCTTAGAATCTTATACTGAATATTGTCAGTTTACATTTTAAATATACGGGAATATTTTATTTAGGCTGGTAAACCAGTTATTTGCGCAACTCAAATGCTTGAGTCCATGGTTAAGAAACCCCGTGCTACTAGAGCAGAATCTTCTGATGTTGCCAACGCCATATTAGACGGAGCTGACTGTGTTATGCTATCTGGCGAAACAGCTAAAGGCGAATACCCATTAGAATGTGTACAAACAATGGCTACCATTTGTGAACAAGCTGAGGCAGTTATTTGGCAAAATGAATTTTTTTCTGGACTGGTGTCTTCTGTAAATATATCGCATAGAAAGAAATATAAAAATTCAATGATTTTTATTATTTAATTTGTTAAGATAAATGATGTATCAACAAATGTTTCAAACTCGCCTGCTATGGCCGCTGTATACTGGGCTGAGAAGAATAGAGCAGCTGCCATAATTGTGATTTCGACATCTGGCTATCCTGCTCATCTCATATCGAAATTCCGACCACGTTGTCCTATTATCGCTGTTACAAGAAATGCCCAGATCGCTCGACAATGTCACATTTATCGTGGAATCATACCTCTATTGTATTGCAGTGGTAAGATGGAGTCATACGTTTTAATTATTCTATTAATATTAATATATTATTATTATCAAACTATATAACTATTTTACTATTATTTTATAAATATGATAGCAGAACAACCAGATGATTGGTATAAGAACGTGGAATCGTGTGTCGAATATGTCTTTAAGTTTGGAAAAGCCCGTAAACTTATGTGTTCTGGACAATCAGTAATTGTCGTCACTGGGTGGAACGGAGACCACAAGAGTGATATAAATGTTCGTTCGATTTATGTTCCTGATTGAGGTAATTTTGTATTGAATCACTTTCCGGTTTCGACAACATGTATACAATGTAATCAATGTAAGTAGGTATACTCATCATTTTCGAAAATATTAAATTACGTACGTCTCGCCAGCTCCCTCTACCCATTCGGAAATCGTTTTTTTCGATTTCAATATTTAATACGCAATTATGGTATGTATTTGTTTAACCAAGCCCGGAATTTGTATTGCAATAAATCGACCTTAATTACTATTAATAATAACAATAAGTTTTGATAAACAATTTTAGAAGCTCTTCACAAATGGATCTGCCATATGAATAAATTGATTGTACTAATGCAAAATAAATTATTCTGACTGGGCGCGCTGTGATCTCTTTTGATAATAAAATTGCTTCGATTGTCCTACTAGGTAATTTAGTATGTTTCTATATAAATTGTAATATTGCTTTAGTGTTAAAATAAATTTGTTGGATCTGAATATAATTTAATTAATTGAATGAAATCGACTATGTGTTTTGATTTGGCAAAGCGATTAATTATGTTATTAGTAATGAATGGAATATTATTATTCAGAATCGCCAAACCAGTCAAACGTGCTTGCCCCATTTGATTTCTCGACCAATTTTTTAATCTAATAAGCATAGAAAAGCAAGGTACTTTTCTTAAATCTATTTTTTATGAACTCCTTCCTATATCAATTTATTTTTGATGCCTTTTTGACAATCTAGTGAAACTAATGAGGTGCCAGTTAGAGCAATACTAAAAGTTAAAGTTCCTAATATAAACAAAAGCTTTTTAATCATAAATATCTTTAATAGTAAAGATGTAAATATCAAATTATTAATTTAGTTATTAATTCTAATAACATTTTTTTTTTTGCGTTTAATATCCGATATCACATTATTTTACAGTGTATTTTTATGTATTTCCCTAGTGTGATATAAATTACAAAAATTTGAAGAAATAAAAGGCTATGAGGGGAGCAACTGCTCAATTCCCCCCTCCCTGAGGATGCCTCTGGGATAACCAGACAAATTTTGTATTCCTTTTCTTTAGCAGAAAATTTTGTTAAGTAAAAAAGTTTTTTGAATTTCGCAAGACGCTCATTGATATATATATATTTTCTTTCGGCCAACCATCATTTATTTTATCCGCTGATAATTTAATAAACTTCACATTACGAATTCAATTTATACGCATATCAAATGCAGCTAACTTTTCCACTATTACACTTCGTTTAGATATAAATGAGTCAACTTTATAAGCTTCAAGTAAAATCTATTATTGTATTTGTTTTCTTCCCAATTTCTTCAACAATTAAATTACAATTTTCATTTTGTGTAGTATCTACTATTATAACTAAATTGAATTGTTCAATTAAGTATATTTTAGATTTTAATACAATAACTTCATCTGATAAACGTTTATTTCCGTTTATATTTTTTAAGATAAATTACTAGGCACTAAATAAACTACAACGTGAAACGACTTATTCCGGCGACGCGTCGTCCAAATAAGAACTGAAAATACATAAATTGTTTTCTTTTATCAATATTTGACATAATATTAGCTGTTGAGATACCAAAAATTTATATATTTCATGTATTGTAAGTTGAGGAAAAATCGACTTCTGACTTCCGACTGGAAGGGGGGTAAAAGAGATTCTGAGACTCGACATACAAATACATACTAATAACATACTAAATATTTGCGTCGTTAAATTTTAAATTTTATGTACATTTACTTATGAGGAGAGAGCTGGAGAGATATCTCTCCAGCCCTCTCTCCCCATTAAAAAGTTGATTTACTGCAATAAAAAATGCCAGGCTTGGTCATACAAAATACATTCTAATTATATACTAAATAATAAATTGAAAAAATCGAAAATTTTCAAAATGGGGGAATCCGGGGGCTTGCTAGACATACGTATTAAAATTTTAAAATTGTATATATTTTCACAATTTAAGAATAAAGTAACTCTAAAATGTTACATTTCCATCATTCTTTATCACCCTTAGTTTTGGAGGTTAAAGGACTACCTACTTTCGATTTTAAAATGGCCACCTACAGGGTATCCTACAAAGCTAAATTCGTTTTATATGTAATACTGCGTAATGGGTGTATCTTTGTGGGACACTCTGCATATTAAAAATTCCATAAATCAATGAAGTATTACTTAAATAAATGTTGGTGTTGAAATTGTTGATTTACGTCAATTTATTAATGAGGTATTTCACTTTTAAGTTTTGGCAATTTGTGTGGTGGCACGACGTGTGCATGTGCTGCACTATTTTAAAGCAACAATACTGTGGAGTATCATTCGTGTGGCAGCACGGCGCATGGCGTTTTATTAATACTCCACTACTCTCCCCTTATCTAAACTTAAAAATGGAATATCTCGTTAATCTATTGACAGAAATCAGTAATGTTAACACCAAAATGTGTTTGAAGTAATACTCCGTCTTTTTATGGAATTTTTAATATAGGTCCTCGTTTGAAAAACCAGTTGGTATCGCCACTCGGATACTTCTTAAATATTGTGAAAAATCTAAGTATTCGATAATATTGGCTTTAACTACAATTGAAAATTACAAAAATCAGAATTTGAGTTTAAAAAAATGGGATGAGCACGATTAGTGAATCATTCTGTATATACTTTATAATGTTTATTGTTACATACAGTTGTTCATTTCTATGTATCTCATTGTAATATTTCCGTTTGGAAATAAAAATAAAATAAATAATCATCCCATTTCGTAACTCATTTCTCATAATATCTCATCACATGTAATTTAAGTAGTGATGCGATACACTTTCAGGGAGTGGTATATATTTTTATGCGGGAGGTAGGGATGTACACTGTTTTCACACCTGAAAATAACGGTGACATAAATAATGGTTGTGTAATATTTTAGAGATACTTGTTTTTTAAATTATCAAAAAATTTAAAAAGCAATTACTCTCTGAGATACTTACTTAAATGGATCTTTTTGTATGGTGCTTATGGTTTAAACAGAATTATAATTTGTATACATTAAGTGTGTATTAATGTATGTAATCAAAAAATTAGTAAACTGATACGATGTCATACAAATACATACATTATTTATTATAAAATACAATATTGTAGTCTGTAAGCTACGTTTTTACGTACCTATTTATTTATTTAATAAATATTCTATAAATATAAAAATAAATGTTTGTATGTATTTTATGCCTTTCTAAACCGTTCATCCGATCGCCATGAAACTCCGGGAAGTTGTTGAGTACACGCCCGTGAAGGTTTCTAGCGTAGTATACCTATGCAATTGTTCAATAGCTCCACTATCACCCACAAACCCGGGTTTTAGGTACTTTTGGTACAAGTATAAATTATTTTTTCACTTATAGGTTACCTGGGTAATATACGGATGCAAAAACAAATATTATTAGTTCACCGAATTGTCATGGACTAATTTATATTATGTCTATGGTAAGTATTCATTAAATGTGTATATATAGGTAACTAGGTATTTTTCTGTCGTGGTTGTAAATAAAATATTTAATTTTAAATTGCCTACAAAGAAATCAATATTGTATACAGTTCATAGGTAACGTAAAACATACGCTATTACAAGCCATATATAAAAAATATACAGACATACATAAAACATACACGTCTTCTTTAATTTTTGGAATATTGCATCGTCGACGGTTATGCCCCCCAAACGGAAATCTACATCTGAAGCACGAAAGAAAAAGACATTACGAGCAACGGAAAGCCAGATTATAAAAGGAATATAATAGATAAAAAAAAATATTATCGAATAATTTTTATTGCTTAGCAACCATATAGTTTATTTATAAGTTTGAAAATAAAAAGAAAGGAAATTCATTTTTAAACATTTAAGGGCAACAACGGTTAACTGCAGTAATAGTGACGGAGATTGAAACTAGGGGGAAATTGTTTTTATTTTGCACGGGCGACGCCGCGGCTAGCGGAACAGCTAGTTCGTTAATATTTTTCTTCCAATTAAAAATAAAATCTGCCCACTGATTTTATTTCAGCAACCCTTACACTGAAGTATAGATTCCTTGCCATTAGGTCATCAGGCGGATGGCTGCTATGCAACGGTCACCTGACACGTAACAGTCATCCGACTGCAATTCAACCACCGATGATCTGATATCTGATATCTTAGTACAAAATTTCAATTTTCGACCGTTTCAAATTTAAAATTGTTAAGCACAAGAGTACTTTATGGTCGGTTTATAGTGGCCGTTCGACAATCATCGTTCAACCCACCTAACCGGTTAGGTCACAACTGTTCACACCCGAAATTCTCTTTATCCAGAAAAATCATCGTATATTAATATACATAATTTACAAATTTTCTTTTTTTTTTTTACATTAGAACTTAAGTAAAACAAACTATTATGTAACTCTATTAATTTTAAATTCGAAATATATTGGTTTTAAAATAATATTTATTTTTTTATTTTTCATTCAGAGCGAAGCGAGGGATCCATATTTATATGTACTCGTATTATAAATATAGAAATTGCGCGTTTACGAGTTAAAAATAAATAAATGTAAAATTTATTTTATATCGTATTTAAAATGTTTAGAATTATTTTGCGTATTTAATCGATTATATTTTTTTCTATTTTAATCTTTTCAGCTGAAATATTTTTTTTAATTTTTGTATTTACTTAATTAAATGTGAACAGCATGTACATCGCTAGGCTACCCTCAACATTTTACTCAAATGATCACTCCATCCCGTTCATTTGTTAAGAGAAATGTACGAAGGCTGGTAATAGTAATGTTTTGTGCATATCTTCGAAGTTCGTAAACAGATCTTGATCAAATTTATACAAGATCATCTCAAAAGTATACTCTACCAAATAAAAAAACCAACCAAATTGAGAACATCCTTTTTTTTTTTCCTGAATCAGATTAAAAACATCGTGTTTAGAGATTGAATTCTAATTGAATCATCGATAAAATTATATTATGAAATCATTTTATCGTATAAA